CTTTTTTTTCAATTTCACTACAGAAATTTCCGTTTATAAACAATCTTCTTCCAATTAAAAGTGTTATTGTTTTACTCACACCCTACAATTAATCGCTTATATTATTTTAATAAAGTAAATACGTTTTTGTTTATATATTCTCTGAAGATTTCAACGTGAGGAAAAGCCTGAGCTAGAGGGCGCGTTGAACTAACCTCGATTCGGTAACTATTACCAAACGCCCAGTTGTATTAAACGGTTCCCGGTTTGCGTCAAGCGAAAAATTTATCATAATCAAATGGTGTTAAAATCAACCAGCAGTTGAGTGTACCGCGATTAGTCCTAGTTATCAATGAATGTCCAGTTATGTGAACCTAATCGAAAAAAAACCTTCAACCGAATCCGTCAGGTAGATACAAGCAAAGCCTTCTATCAGTGTGACATGCTCACTGTCATATGGCGGGCTCTCATATACTCGCTGTCCCTTGCTTGCTTTGTGACCATTTATTGGTTAGAAGAAGTGTCAAGATGTTCAATATAAAAAGTTGGATTGATTGTAAAAATTATCAGTGTCAGATGCTTTTGTCACTGTAGATACAACTATGGATGTGTGATCTTACAACCGAGTAACGAATTTATCTGTATCGGAGATTTGTATCTCCTCATGTCAAATGTATCAGTACGACAGGTACCATCGTTAATGGTGTTGTCTTTCACTTTTTAATCATCGGTAAACCGTTAGGCTCAACTTCCACCAGATGCATAATGTACATCTCATGCATTGAACATTTGAGATGAGAAATGAAATTCTCATTTAAATTTAAATGAAATTTAAACGATGTATAAATTTACCCGGCCTACACAGATGCATTAGCAAACGTCAGTCCAATCCTCTTATGAAGCTTTGGATGATTTTTCATTGGATCAACACTTTTTTTAACCCCATCCCATTTTTTCAATCGTGTAAAATATGGTCATTCAGTTTTGGGACGTATGTTACTTTGTGCTTAGGCAGATGGTACAAGAGAAAGAAATATTTGCATAGGGATTGTGGGTTCTGTCATTACTGACATTAACGAAGGGCTTTTGGAGGTGATAAATACAAGTAAATAAAGAGGGTCTTCTTTCAAATTTATTTACATATATTTAACCCTCTGAAGTGAACGCTCACTACCACACAACGCCTAAGCACGTTTGCTCGTTCCCCCACTCCGCTTATACCGACAGGGTTTGGTAGGATTTTCTCTTCAGAGGGTTGATGTAACAGAAAAAAAAGAATGAAAGATAATGATGGCATAGAATTGTAATATTTATGACGCTTTTCATACTCAAATGCAAGATATCAATCTGAAAGAGAGATATATCACAGACTTTCTAGTTTTCGACTACAAAAGGGTTCGTTTTTATTAAATTTCAAAACGGAAAATACATTCGTCGCAACTGGTACTTTATACACGCTGCGTGCCTCGCCTGTGGCTCGGACTGTAAATCTCACACTCGCCAAAAACGTAATTTATCAATTCGTTAGACAAATATACCAGTTAAAATACCTGTTTGTTTAAATATTTTTTGAACCATTTTTAGCGCTGCGTTAATCAGCCATTGTAAAATCAAACATTCAATTTGTTTTGTTTCTCATTGTTTGTTTTTGCGAAATTCCAATAAATTTTTATTAAGATAACAATAACAAGCGAAAAATGGACAATGTTGATATATTCAGATCAAAATCAATTGTTATATTGTCGTTCAATCTTTGTTATTAATTTCTTTCTTTTTGCTTCCGAATGGAAGTTTTGTAATCGTCCGATTTTCACATTTTCTAATTTTGATTAGACATGATGTAGAATAGTCCAAATCGGAAAAATAAAAAGTTTGGCGACCATGTCTGTATGTGAGATACGTCCACCGCCACCTTAGCGACGGTCAATTTGAAAAAAATCTAATAATTAACTAGCTTAAGTAATTCCAAAAAATCGAAATTTTGTCAGATTATAGATCTTAAGGTGGACTAACTTCGTGCAAAATTTCAGCTTGATCGGTCCAATAGTTTTTAAAAAAAAACGATTGGTTTTTACATCGCTTTCCAGAAAATCCAAAAAACTAGTGGATCGATTTCCATTTTTTTTTCTTTCAAAATATTCATCTCGATGTCCTCTACCTAGATCAGTCAAAACATATATACCCGTTCATCTAAGTTTTAGAGATTTTCCTGTTTTGCCATTACAATCGTTGTACACGTTCTAACTTGTGCCAAAATCAAGATATCAATTTGAAATTAGGAGAGAATCTTTCTTTTATCATAACAAAGGTTCGTATACTATTAAAAATTTTCGTCTGATTTTTCCGGGTCAAATCCCAAAAATTTTTATCATGTGTAATTTCCACTGAAATTTCCGGCAATCTTATCATTGAAAAATAAAGTATTTCATTAAGTTTCTATTCGAGTGATTTGCAAATCAATAAAATACTTGGTTTTTCAGTTCAATTATTGTTTAAAAATTCAGAAAAGTCTAGAAAATTCAGGGAAAACTTAAAAATTTCTACCATATCGTTTCTGAATATTCATGTTCCATTGAAAATTCAATCAAGTTCTGGAATTTCCGTCTCACTCCCACTGAAAACTCATGAATTTCCTTGAAGTTTACCTAAAAGTGGGAATTTTACAACCATTTTCTCTCCAAATCGGATTCAATGTTACTCTAATGGGAATTACTAACATTTTTTCCGTGAAATTTATAAACGTTTCTAACAATGTATGGAAGATGGACACAATCGCATCAGTAGTTTCGGAGTTATTCGATTTCAGCTGTCACTGTTATATGCAATATTTCAAAAACTACGTAACCGATATGATTTTGTTTCTCAAAATATTCGTCTCACTGTCGTCTACCTCTGCCTCCACCGAAGCATCGACATTTTTACTATTATTTTTTTAGTATTATCAAGTTACAAAGTTTTGTAAAATTCCACCCGATTCGGAAAACCGCCATCAATGTATTGATAGCGAAAAAACCAGTAACGTGCTCGCTATTATATGCTCGGTGTCCCCTGCTTGTTATGAAATTTTTACCTCGCTCGCTCCTTGTTAGGGTTCGACCCATAGGGGTTGAAGAGGATGTGACCCATAATTGCTCGAACCAATAACTTCTCGACCGATTTCTTTCTTTAGGTTTATTGAAGAAATGATTTTTGCGACTTTTTTGAAATTTCTCATTCTGGTCCGAAATGTTCAATTTAAGAAAAGTCGCAAAAATTTGAACGTTTGAATTCGAATCACTCCACAACCACTAGTACGTTGATGCCCGGAGTTCAGTCCAGTCCTAATTATACAATGCCACATCGATTGTGGGACAAGATACTTAAACCCGTCGTTTCTCCAGGAGAAATTTTATTAGTCAAAAAATTATACATGTTTCGCCGTATTCCACCAGTTGTATTGACAAAAGTAAAAAGTGCTGAATATTATTGAGAATTCTTCCCATCCAAATTTCAGCCAATAGAATTCCACTATTCGACCTCACGTGGTACAGCCTGCAGGGTTTTCAACTGATTATTTTTGGTAATCGGATCTGGCCTTCCCTGGGCCAATCAGAGTTCAGTATTCAATAACATGAAGTACTTCGCAATGAAAATTACAGCGGTTATTTCCCCCTAGCTTTTGATAATTTGCCTGTAGCTTTTGATAATTTTCCTCTAACTCTGCAATTGTTTCTCTAGCCAAATAACTGTCAAATATTATCCTGTGGAGTGAAAGAAAGTCATGAAGAAAATCAAAATGAGTCGGTTTGGGAAGGATCCGATTACCAAAAATAATCCGTCGAATACCACCTACCTACGGAAATTATCAGACTGATAATTTCCCTGTAGCCTGTCAATTGTTTTCTACGAATTTGACAGATATTCCTCACATTTTCGTGAGATGTAATTTAAAAAAACACTCAATCACTGATAGAAATTTTTTGAAAATTAAGCAATAGTTGCACTTGAATTCTCAATGTTATGAATTTAAATTCAATTTAAGATCAAATTATTCATGGAATCTCTCATTCACGTTGGAACTTCAGGACAATTGCTTTCCATGGTAGATTATCACTGATATTTCATTGAGATAAAAACAGTAGAATTTTTTAATTCATTACGGAAATTGAACATCACATCCCACTGAATTTTCAGTGGTTTAAAAATTCAGGGAAATTGTAGCCTGTATTTTCAAATTACTTAATAATTTTCATTATCATGTGGATCTGAAAATTGCAATTCTATTGATTACCCCAGAATTCAACTGATTTTTCAATAACAAAAGACATGAAAATTTCGTGTGAATGAGTGATTGTTAAAAATTTTAAGATTTTTTACTTGAAATGTCAGGAGTAATTTTTTAACAGTGATTCTTTTCAGGGGGTCCGTTTTGCCCGCCTAGTCCATTTTGTCCTACCCTCCCCTATTCGACAACTAGAGTGGCTCGATTTTGAACATTCGAAATCAGAGTTCGGGGCACTATGTTTTATGTTCGCGAATATTCATCCAATTCCTAAATTTTTCAATCAGAATCAAGCATCTTTCTGCCGGAAAAATATCCGAATTGACTTCTAAAAGTTGATATTTCACATTTGACACAAAAAATCATGGATAATCCTATATTGACGTATGAGTGTCCCGTAACCATTCGAAAGCTGGTGCCACCACGGTACCTCTGGAATAAATTTGTAGCCTTACAACTTCAATAGTCCATAATTTCATCCACATGGAAAAGTCAGCCTTATGAAAGACCGAATTATATCCATAAAGAATAAAAGCTAGAGCCTCTCTTCCAGTGCCTCTGTCAGTTGTAAAGTGTATATCCTGTGAAAAAGGCACGCAATGTAATTTCTACCTACTATACCAGCCCTCTCATTAGCCCTCGTACTCCCCTATGGGTGACTCGTGTATATTTTTCTCCTCCCCCCTCCCCCTATTTTTTAAATTTCCTAATCCTTCCGCAGAGCTCCGCCTCTCTTAGACGCGATGCACACCACGCTTCTCCAGCAATTATTCATGGGTGCATGAATAATGGAATGTCCAGGCCGATGGAATTGCAGATATGTACGTCTCATTTTCTCTCTTTTTTTACTCTCCTATGTCTTCATACGTGAGGATGATGACATGGAACATTTGATCTTTTGTTGTTTCCTTGTGCTCCATCATTTTTTTCTATTAGTGATTGAATTAAAGGGTTGCTTGTTCATAGGATAGGATGACAATACTGAATTTTTGCTGATGCCTGGCCTTCATAATAACGTTCGGGGTGAAAAGATCACTCATGGGGATATGTCCACCGGGTAGATTCTACGATAATCCATCAAACACAACGCACTTTTGTGAATATCGTAGGATAAAATGACGTCTGCATTAGTTCCAGATAAATGCTTT